TCTAGCGTGCAGCCATGGGAGGACTGTAATCATGACAGCAGCCTGGGGCTAGGAGCCAGTGCCTCTAGAGTTCTGAAGTGGCTCTGGACAGCAGGTCTGTGATTCTGCTCAAAGATTCCTTACAATGGCTTTGCCATCTGCTTAGAACTTGGCACTGGATGAAACCCTGCCATCATGCCTTGGCTACGAAACAGTTACCAATGCCTTAACCCAGGCCCTTCCTTATTTTTCAGAGCAGTGATATCAGAACTACTCTTCAGCCATCTGAGACGTGCTCCAGGTCCCACCAGGGTCCTCCACTTAGCAGCTCGGTTCTTTGCAGTTTGAACAGGCACTTGTAGTGCCCGTTATATCACGTAGATAGGCAGACAACAGGACTCCCGTGCTAGTTGAGTCCATTGGGACATTGCTTCTACTGCATCAGCAAAGAAAATCTGCTGCCTGGAAAGGCACTAAATGTGACAAGAATGTCACGTTGTTCTCACAGCATCTTGGGAGGAAGCCGGCAACAGACGCCGCACCTGAACTTCCTGTGTATACATGGTGAGGGAAGAACATGCCCGTGTGGTGTAGTCTGCTGCTGTGAGTAAAGAGATGGTTTGTAGTTATCCGACTGGACCTGAAGTTCAAAAGGACTAAAGTAGAGGCAAGCAGCCCTTGACCTGTCCTGCCCTACCAGGCTTTGGCGGAAACTGAGGAGGAGAATACTGGCCTAACTCTGTTGCTCAAAATCAGGGAAACAAGATCTCAAATCATCATTAGGAAATAACTGAGCTTAGAGCTGGGTTGGTAAACTTTTCTTTGCGTATCAGTTCCAGCCAAGTCTTAACTTGCTCCAAATGCTGTGTTTGGCTCTGGGGCTGTTTGCTTGGCTCAGCAGGTGCTCAATAAACAACGTTCGTCATAGTATTTAGGGTGGAGGTGGCACATGATGATATGTAATAGTGCTTTGGTTTCTGGAAAAACAAAATGTGATGCTATATGTGGAACAGAAGAGGAATTCCTGGGATTTGAATGTGTTTTGGTCTAGAGAATTGGGCTTGAGGAAATTTAAGCTGGAATGTACTTTGAAAAGAAAGTTTGACAAGGGAGATGTTCTCTAGGTCCCACTCCTGAGGAACTGTTGACAGCTGCTGGGGAGGGAGAGTCATTCTTTGAGAGTGTGGTCTCTGGTAGGTGGTCGATGCTCTAGTGGATAACCCCATACTCACGTACATAAAGGTGGTACTAATTGAGTTAGTGGGTTCTCCCCCCTCCAAAAAAAGACAGGAAGTTGGGAGGAGGATGTCATAGTTAGCATCCTCTGTTAACTTGACACACATAGTCATTTGAAAAGAAAGAATCTCAATGGTAGAATGTCCCAAATTAATCTGGCCTGTGGCCATGTCTGTGAGGCATCTTCTTAATTGCTGAGAAGTGAGCTGAGCAAGCCAGTAAGCAGTATTCCTCCATTGTCTCTGCTTGAGATGCTGCCTTGGCTTCCCTTGATGGACTCTGAGCTGTAAGCCAAATTAACCCTTTCCTCTCCAAGTTGGTTTTGGTCGGAATGTTTTCTCATAGCAACAGAAAAGCAAACTAGCACAGGAGACATAAAGGGAGTTAGAGGGGGGATATGAGGGGTGGACATGATCATATTTCACTGTATGCATGTATGAAATTATCAATAAATAATTATAAAATTTGAGTCGACTGTGGTGGAGCACACCTTTAATCTCAGCACTCTCTGAGATCGAGGCCAGCCTGGTCAACATAGTGAGTTCCAGGGCAGCTGGGGCTACAGGGAGACCTTGTCTCAAAAAAAACACCACCAACAAAAAAATTTGAGATAAAAGGGCATGGGAAAAATGGTAAACCATCTAATCAATGAGGACATATTCCCACTGAGAGGCTGTCCGTGCTACTTAGTAGAGAGCACTTAATAACTGATGTCAGACCCAAGAAACTCCAGACCGTCACATCTATTAAGAGTAAGAGGAATAATTTTAACACAATGGAGCCCTAAAGCAAATAATCTAGAGCTTGTTCAAAACTACTTTAATTCCAGAAGGATGAATTTGGTGATCCTAAAGGTTTAGAATTGAACTTCAAGTAGGCCATCCTAAATCACCTTCCAACAGTTAACACCTTCAGCCTCCTGAGCAGGAGCATCTCACAGTCCTGCAGCTAGCTCCAAACTCGGTGGTGATAAGGTCTGTTACAATTTCAAAGTGGATGCAGGCTTCTGCATCCTGGTGCTAAGCAATTTTAAGGTGAATTTTATTCAGAGACATGATTTAGAAAAACTAAAATCAAGTACTTATCTGCAATAAAAAATGAAATTCATTTTGTAGTTGGACAAAAAAAGATGTTCAGCTGGGTGTGGTGGCTCATGCCTTTAATCCCAGCATTCAGAAGGCAGAGGCAGATGGATCTCTGAGTTCAAGGTCAGCTGGGGCAACAGGGACACCCTGTCTCAAAAAATAACTCCAAAAGTAGATGTTCAAAGAGTGTAGACACCCTGTAGCGGTGATGAAGCGGGCATTGCGAAGCACCTTGGTGTCCTACGGCACTGAAGAGCTGCCTCTTAAATTCCCTGAGCTATTGATTTAATACGCTTCCAAAACCAGCTGCTTCTAAAGAAACCCACATCAGTTCAAGGGTTTCCTGGTTATCACAAGGCAGGCAGGGATGGAGAAGGGATTTTTTCCCCTTTAACCTCACTTAGGACACTCTTCTTTTCTCTAGTTAATTCTACTCAAAAAGTGTTCATTGTGGACTTTATTCATATCTTAACAAGACAGTGAATGTTTGAAGAGTGAACACCACTGACCTAGCATGCTTATAATAGTTAATCTAGGTAAGGTGGCATTTGTGTGACAGTCGAGATGGCAATATGAAGTGTTGATCAAAATTATGAAGTATCAGGGGTGGGCTTTTTAGGAAGACCATCACTGAAAGGTCCTGGACAGAAATTGATCTTTATATTTCTCTGTCGCCACTAAAGGTAGACGAAAGCAAAACAAGCAAAACCAAAACAACAAAAACGCCCAAAACAACAAATTGAAGTGCCGTGCTGGTTGTTCTGTGTTGTATATAAAGTGTCAAAGTTGTACTGTTTCCATCCTAGTAATGAACTGTAGAGGTTCATGGGGATCATCTGAAGTCAGGTACTGCTTTCAAGTTACTTCCCAGCCCTGGGCCCCTCCAAGTGACTACGCCTCCTTCAAGTTCATATCTTATAGGATCACGTCACAGCTTGGCATTTTCTGTTCCTTTTCTTTTTCAGTTTTTATGCTATTCCCAATTAGGAGGAGAAGGCTGGTTTTGTGGGACTTAGGAAAGAGAATCCAAGCTACAATGTCAATTCTTGAAACTAATCAGAGCATTAAAAATTTTTTTTTGCCTTGAATGCAGGCCCATGATTTTATTTCTAAGGAATTTTAGAAGGTTTATAGCTTTTGAATTACTTGTCCATCTACCCATTATCTGCCCACTCAGGAGCTTTTACGATCAAGAGAATCACAGTGTATCTATCATTGCTGCACACAGAAAATGAGGGTGTGAAGCCGAGAGAAAGGCCAGCGCACGCCTGGTGGCAGCTCCATTCCCGTGCCTTCACTTAAGATCACAAAAATCTGTAGTACTTCATGGTTAGCAGTGAGCATAATCATTTTGCTACATCATAAGCCACACCTTCTGGTCAACAGAAAATGAGAATGGTGATATAAAACAAAGTAACAATAATGCCATAACTTAAGATTTGTCATGTAGTCCAGCTACAGAGTTTATACAAAATGGAATAATTTAATGAAACAATACTGCTGTTTGTATAAATTAAACATTTTTCCTTCATCTTTCCTATGAGCTAAATACAGACGCTAAATTTTAAATTAATGTCTCAACATAAAGTGTAAACAAATGGGATGTCCAAAGGAAAGGACCGCTCTCCACCCTCTTGCCTTTCTTTTCTGGCAGATGCAATCAGTACATCCAGCTGAAGGGTACCTTTTCATTTGGGTTGGAATGCTTTAATACTTAACATTCTACAGGGTACACTATCAGAGTCCAGGCAGTGGGGGAGAGGTTGTTTGGCAGTAGCCTATCTGGGAGAGGAATCAGGTCAACATAAAATTTTAAATAAGAACACCCTTAAGCCAGGCATGGCGGTGCCCACCTGTAATCCCAGCTCTTGGGAGGTTGAGGCAAGAGGGTCAGTGGTTCATGATAGCCTTAACTACAGTGAGAACTCTTCCTCTTAAAGCCAAGGCTCCATGAAGTACCTTGGGGTACTTTTCATAGCCCAGGACTCTGGTGACAGAAAAAGATCTCATGTTTTTTGCTAAAGTAAAATACTTCTAATTCCCGCTTAACACCGGTTGCTCTTCTTATACATTTCATAATCAAACTAATCAAAAATCAAAGTGAATCACAGTGAAGTAAAATATATTTTACAAGTAACATTTAATAAAAATGTGGTGAGAGAGGGGTCACCTTTTTGCAAGTTGCTTATTCTGCCCTTATTCTGACAAGTATAGTCATCCACTTAAGCAAGAATGAGTTCATGAATGAAAATAAGGGGATGGGTTGGGATTGGACATGACACATACATCTCCTAGCTGCCTTCTGCTTGAATCAATGATTCCAGCAGACACAAACTGGGTCCAGAGGGCTGGTTCCAGCTTTCTTGTATAGCTGCACGCCCTGAGAAAAAGGAACGTCTACAAATTTGGTTTTGTAATGTTGTAGATGTTCTTTTTCTCTTACCCTTTATCTCCTCCTTAGGATCTTCCTACCTTCCTAAACCCCCTGCCCCACCTTCCTAAAAAGAAGTGGCCAACAGGTACAAAAAAAGAAGCTACTTTGGAGAAATGGCACTTGAGACATAAAGACCACATTGGTCAAAGCTGTGACAGCATTAAAAAGCAAAATAATTGCCAAGGGCAAGACTGGATGCTACTGCAAGCCTCACTACCAAATTCTGCTTAAAGGTTAAGAAATAAAATCCACATACACAGTTATGTTTTTTCCTCTTAGAGGAAGCACATGCCCTCAAAGGCTTTGGTGTTACCAAGTCACCAAACCTCCACGCCACTTCCTTCCCTCACGAGAACAAGTTGGTTGAATTGAATGTGATCTGTTCACAAATACCTGGAATTGCATTTTCTCTTGTTTGTGTTTTAATGTCTTGTTCTGGCTCTTCAGTCACTTATAGAGAAAAGACCTGGTCCTCTATTCCAGCAGCAACACCTCCCAGCCTCCAAGTGTTGCTCCTAAAGACCCTTCCTTCCTTCCTTCTTTCCTTCCTTCCTTCCTTCCTTCCTTCCTTCCTTCCTTCCTTCCTTCCTTCCTTTTGTAAAGAAATTATCGTGTCTCTCTGTGTATCATATATACTCACTCTACAGTACAAAGTGTTAAAATGTCCAACGAAAATAAATATCAGTGTTACAGTAGCTAGAATATTCAATAAAATAGATCCCTGCCATTCTTGATTGAAATGTTCAGTGAGACTTAATTACTTAATATCTCTGGATATTTTTCCAGAGATTTGTAGAGTCTAATGTTCCTGTTATTGCAGCTCATTTCTGGGGTGGTCAAGGTAGGCAGCTCCTCCAAGGCAAAAAGAAGGGACAAGTATAGGCTTGAGTAGATTCGAGAAGCCAGTGTCCCAAGGTCTTCTGATGGAGATTCCTTCATCACCAAGTGGCAGAACTGTAGTGTTTGCTGGTCCTAACTGTAGCATCTGAACACTCCCCCTCTGAAGAGTCACAGTCGGAATCTTCAAACTGCACAGGGTTCTGCGAAGTCCAGACAAAAGCTCTTAATTAATTCTCTTCTACAACCTTCAAGGGGGACACACTGATCCGAGGTAATTTCCTCTCAGAAAAAAACCTTCCATCTTGGATAGAAACTTGGTAATACACAGGATGTTCTAAGTGGAGGCCAAACAGTCCATCCTGTAAGGAAGTTCATTAAGCTCAGGTAGGAAACAACTTCTGGAAGTTCCTGAAACTGACCAGATTCACTAGGCCCCTCCCTCCTCATGGGTAAATAAACGGAAAGGACTGACTAGAGACTCAGACAACCTGATCTGCGTAGAAGACTCACATTAGTCTAGCTGCTGGAAGAGGCACCTCAGCTGTATGAGAGACTCCTCCAGCATGCCCAGGCTGCCTATAAGATGTGGAATGAGCTCCAGGTTTTCATCTTTCACAGTTGTCACCTGGGCTGTGCTGGGCTTTTGGTGATACAGCTGTCTGTGAGTCATTTTTGTTCCTGTAAGTAGCCCTTCACCTACACTCCTGTAAAGGACCCTAATAAAACTCTGGTGTATCTTTACTTTGGTCTGTCGTTACTTTCCTCTCTGGGGTGAGTAGACATTTGTTCATGTCTCAGGAATAGTGTCACACAATGGATCACTTCCCATGTGACAGGAGTTAAGCTGGATTAGGGGGTGACAAAGATAAATGAGATTGGGTCCTGGGGGCCTTATGGAAAAAAGAGATCAAGTTGATAATGCTGATGATGGCTACAGCAATTGTAATGTTATCTCCATCTCCCTGATGATGTGGCATTCCTGTGCTCCAGGCATCACTGTAAGTACTTGTATACCTGTTAGTCCAGTCTATTCAGGACAACCTCCTGAAATAGATCACCTCTTCTAGATTTGATAGGTATTATTACCCCCCTTTTACAGGTCAGGAAACTGACCTTCAGAGACGTTAAGCAACTTGCCCAAGGTCATACAGTATGGAGAAAGGCTGGGGTTTGCATCTAGGCAGCTTGAGTCTCCTGCCTCTCTAAAGGCGGTACCATGAGACATAAGAAATGGTATTGGCTGTGCTATGGCAATGTCTTTCAGGGGGAGTGGGAAGAGGCCCAGTCCCTTAACAGAGTTGGGAGGTGGAGCTCCGGGGAGGTGAGGGTTCCTGAATAGTTCACCTTCTGCCTCATTTGTGAGTCCTTTCCTCATTAAGGGGCGTTTATGGATCTACATGTTTTCATTTTGTGGAGGTGATATATATTTTATGTACTAAATAAAAATTGTAAGCTGGGCGTGGTGGCGCATGCCTTTAATCCCAGCACTTGGGAAGCAGAGGCAGGCGGATCTCTGTGAGTTCAAGGCCAGCCTGGTCTACATAGTGAGTTCCAGATGTGCTGAAGAGACCCTGTCTCAGAAATACCAAAAGAAAAAAAAAGGTCTAGAGTATTCCTCCCTTGAAGATCCTTCCACTCCCAAGAGTTTTCTTTTCTCTAATAAATCTATGTTTGCTCTGCTTAAAAAAAAAAAAAATGGCCGGGCCTGTGTCCCAACACTCGGGAGGCAGAGGCAGGCAGATCTCTGTGAGTTCAAGGCCAGCCTGGTCTACATAGTGAGTTCCAGGACAGCTGGGGCTACAGGGAGAACCTGTCTCAAAAAAGACCAAAAAAAAAAAAGTAAAGGTCTGAAGGTTTGAACATATTTTAACCCAAAAGGACCAGGAGGGGAGTAGTGGTAGCATGTGGTGGGGGGAGAGGTACCCACCTGGTAGCTACGCTCTTCCACACACAGCTTGCCGAGGGACATCTGGGTCTTCACACGCCGTACAGCGCATTCCTTGTCAGAGAGCCCATCTGAGTGGGAGGAGATCTCAATGGGGACCTCAGGTGTCTGGGTCAGCAGGTCATCTAGTTTCTCTGCCAGGCTCTCCAGTCTGTCAGTAGACTCATCAGGACTGTTGGAGTGATCACTTGTATTCCCTTCCTCTCCATCAGACACAGAGAAATTTTCAGAGCTAAAGGTTGAGTATGACTGGCAGTTGCTGATACAGCGATGGGGCCTGTGGACAGAACTTATGAGAGGATCGAATGCCAATGCATCCCTGTCTTACCCGTCAGCCAGGGTTTTAGTGCCCGGTAGTCTAGTTACCAGGGCCCTGGCCTTGAGGATGACCAAAAATCAAGACAGGTAGAAAGTGCTGACCTTCCCAGCTTCCATAACTGTGAGAAATAAATTTTTGTTATATAAGCCACCAGGCCTGTGATATTTGATTAGAGCAGTGTGAGCAGACACAGGGAGGCCGGAGACTGACACAGGGAGGCCGGAGACTGACACAGGGAGGCTGGAGACTGACACAGGGAGGCCCACTGGAAACCAATGTCACCCATAAACCCATACCACCCCTCCCAAACCAAATGCTGTATCCTGGAGCATAACAGTGGATCTGTATTCATGCTCCATATCATGAAGTTCCTGTGGAATGAATCTGATGACCTGGGATATGCTGTGCATAGGCAACTTTCAGATGTGGAATGGGACAGCATCAGCACCTGTGAGCTCAAGTGTCCTTGTAAAGTGGCTGCCAGACAGTGAACCAGGTGTTGCAGACTCGAGATTTCCCCATTACACTGAAAGTAGTCAGAGACATGCTGGCTTTACCTCTGTCTTCGTGGCAATTCGACTTCACTATCTACTTCCCCTTCTTCTTCGGAGGAGTCATCACCGCTCTGAGGATGGCAAGGAGAAAAGACTTTTATTTGTTCTTTCCCCGTCCCTCACCACCTCTAAAAGATTTCATTTAGATGCTGATGGCATCTTTAAACACATACATCCTCAGCCTGGCAGGTAGTTTGCACCTGGAATCCTAGAACTCCAGAGGCTGAGGCAAGAGGATGTAAGTTTGTGGGCAGTCTGGGAACATGGTGAGCTCTAGGCCCTGTGTCAAAACAAAAATAAAAAAAAGAAAACAACCCCCCAGACAAAACAACAAACAAACCCCAAATACCAACCCAAACCGAGCAAACAGCCCAAACCACACATGCACTTCCCATTCATTTAGCAGCTTGGCCTATTTCTATGCTGTCAGGCCAGGCACCAGAAGATAGAACTTTCTTTGCACTGGTGAGGTAAGGGGTCCATGAAAGTGTCCAGAGTGAGTGATAGAGAGGCAAACTGGTAAGAAGGTCTTGTAAGTATTGTCACTAGTGGTTCGAGGGCCTTTCATAGGAACTCTACCAGGAAGTAATTTTTTGATTCTTCAAAGCCCAACAACTACTTTCATCTCCCCTGTATCAATCACGGGTCAGATCACATCTTGTCTATGTTTCAAAACAACATTGCATTGGAGGTGCCTATCACCACAAATATATACAGTAAATTTTCAATAAAAAGGTTCTTTATACATCTTTACTGAGTCAGCTTGTTGGCAGGGATAGCTGGGGTGACTGCTGGGTTCTGTGGCTGATGTGCAAGGCTGTGTAAGTGTACTGGCTGACCGCTAATCTTCCCTCACAGGGATGATCACATCTGGCACTAAGGGCAGAAAATCAGGCACAGGCAAGATCAGCTGTCCTTAACCTCAGCATCACAATACACTGGGTTATACAGTGTCTTGGGAGCTGGGTAGTTAGATCCAAGTAGCTGTGCCATATGTTGAAGATAATTTACATTTCAAAAAGTCAGTTCTGGGCTGAAGAGATGGCTCAGTGGTTAAGAGCACTGGATGCTCTTCCAGAAGACCTGGCTTCGGTTCCCAGCACCCACATGGCAGCTAACAACTCCAGTTCCAGAGATCTGACACCCCCATCTGACCTCCATGGCTATTGTAGGACATGGATGCACTTAACATACAGGCAGGCAACACACTCATACACATGAAAAAAAAGAATATTATAAAGAAAGTTAGTGCCAAGGAGGATAGATGCTACTTTCAAATGGCTATAAGGTCAAATAGATGCAAGAAAGGCTGGATTACAGTTTACTGTTTTTTCTCCAAGTCTGTGGTTTGCCAGGGTGCAACAGGAATCCTCCAAGACAAGACTGAATGCTGTTTCTTAAACTTGCCTTGTAAGGGGATCCTTCTTTCTGTGACATCCCTCAGGACTAGAGTTCTAGGACAGTGGTTTCCAAACTATTTTGATTATATGTCTTTAACATACTGTAATCCATAAATATATACATTTGTATCAGTTCCCAGTTCAATAATTTCCCAAATGTACTCTAGTCCATGACTGAAGCACTGTGAGGAAAAGTATTTAAAGAAAAAACAAAACAAAACAAAACCTGTCTCTGTGTTTTGTTAGGTCATCCTTTTCCAAAAACACACATTTTTTTAGAGCCAGTTTTGTGATGTGCATAACATAACTGGCTCTGCTGGTCCAGCAACACCAGTGACACGACCGCCTCTGCTGTGCCTCACCTTCTCAAGGGGCCTTGTGCTTTGAGGTAGCATTGGGGGGGTGAATTGACGAGAGACAGAAGATTGATAGCCATTAAATTCAATTTCCTTCATTTTCTCCGAGCCTTGGGCCTTTTCCACAAGAGGATTATGTGTTGGTGACTTAGAAAGGTCAGGGCTCCTCCCCACTGGCTCAGTAGTGGGTACATCTAAAGACCCAGAATGTTCTGGCCTGCGCTGAAGATAGGGGTCATAGGGGTCAGTCTGACAACAGCCCCAGGGACCAGTGTGGCCCCGGTCAGGTTCAGAATGCCTCCAGCAATCTGCTGCCATGGCTGTGGAGATGAGGTCTGGACTGGAGCCGGGCATCTGTCTCTGAGCGTGGTTGCTGAGTGGGCTCCGAAGGGCTGCAGCTGGGCCAAAATACCTCAGGTTATTGGCGCAGGTTGCAATGTCCTGTCCGTGCATACTGACTCTGGGATGGTGACTCTGAGTCTTGGCAGGAGGGGACTGCTGGTATTGCTGCTTCAGAGGATTCTGTTGATGGGAAGCAGGGTACTGGGTCTGAGCCTGGTGTAAGCAAGTGGGATGGGGTGAGTTTTCCTGGCCTGGTTGGGTTTTCAAGATTGCCGCAAAGTCACTATGGCTGCCTCTGCTACTCCCTCGGCGGTGGCGTGGTTTGCTCCGATATCGGCTCTTGCTGCTTGAAGTAGACATTTTAGGACTTCCGGACAAAGGGGATGCGGTGGGAACAACCTCGCTACTGGGGATACCTTCAGATCTCAGCAGGTCTGGCCTGGGGAGAAAAAAAAAAAAAAAAAAGGATTTGTTTTAGACACATCAGATCATTTTCGACTTTGGGGTAATATGTGCCCAAATGTGCCAAGCTTTAAAATACACACAATTCCTTGATTATTAATTTGCACTAATGGGATCAAATCCAGTACCTTGTGCATGTTAGTCAAGCACACTACTACTGAACCAAGTCCCTAGTCCTGCACCTTTTTTTTTGTTGGTTGAGACAGGATCTAACTTTGTAGCCCAGGCTAGTCTCAAACTCCTGTTTCAGCCTCCTGAACACTGGGAGGGAGAGCACACAATAGGAATGAACTACTACCCTGTCTTCATACACTCCTCCAATCAGCATTCAAATACAGGGAGGGATTCTTTCCAATGAAGATCACAGACGTACACAAAGATACTTGTTTAATGTTATAGTATAGTACTGTTAAAACACCAAAAACTTAGAAACAATGTAATGCCCATGTACAGAGATTTAAAAAAAATTTTTTTTAATTTAATTTTTTATTATTACTGTGGGGGGTGTTGGGGGTCGAGGGTATGTGCATGCATGCAGAACACACACACATATATCAAGAAGAGGTCCCGAATTTGAGAGGAAGTTGGGGGTATACAAGGAGTTGGAAGGGGAAAAGTGAGGGGTAAAACGATATAAATATAGTACTCATGTATGAAATTCTAAAATAAATTACATAAAATGGTAGTACATTATTAGATTATTATAAAGAACTAAAGAAATAAACATAAAAATGAGATATGCATTGACTATTGTGTCATAAATTAAGAGTTTATGGAGAGGTGACTCAGTGGTTAAGAGGACTAGTTGCTCTTACAGAGGATGCAGGTTCAGTTCCCAGCACCCATGTGGTGGCTAACCATTGTCTGCAACTCCAGTTCCAGGGGATCTGATACCCTCTTCTGGTCTCTGTGGGCATTTTACTCATGTGGTGCACTTACATACACATAGGCAAAACACGTGTACACATAAAAATAAAAATACATAAATGGATTTTTTAAAAAGGATCATGATTAACTCAGTTCTGTTTCTAGGGTTATAAAAATAAAAGGGACTCTCATGTACCATAATGACACTATTTACCCATAGGGATCCTGGGGCTGAAGAGGCAAAGTGACATGGCCAAGTTCCCCAGCTTACAAAGCAGGGCTGGAGCATCAATCCAGACCTGTCTGTCCACTGTGTACTTATCCTCCTACACTTGGTGCTAAGATAACAAAAGTGCCTCAGATAGTAAAAACTAGATTCCTAGGGTCCATTCATGCTCCCTCTCATTTTCCTACTTGGTTTTATCTACAGCCAAGTCTGCTACCAGTGGTCACATTCACCATCCTCTGAGAACGCCTTTCTGTGGGTATCTTCAGATTTATCTGAAAATCAGGTGGATACAGGTGTCTCACCGCTTAGTCTGCACCCCAGGCTTGTGAGACACACCCTTCCTTTTCATGAGTTTCTCCATGGCATTTGGGTGGATGATTGGACGGACGGAATGTCGTTTGTAGGTGCCAGGATACTTCTTTTCTACTGCTTGCTCTCGCCTGCAAGTTAAAGGAAAAAAAAAAAAATTCCTGAGTTTTGGTGACTAGAAAGGCAGGCAAAGATTGTCCCAAGATGGTGACTGCAAAACCATACCTCCTAATCTCCCACTCACAGAAGAGGGAAAGACAGAATCTAATCAGGAGGTTGCTAACCCAGAGTACTGTATTAAGCATTCTGTATAGAACAAGTGGGCATTCTGGTTTTTGTTTTTGTCTTTTTGAGGCAGGGTCTCCCTGTAGTTCCAAGGTGGCCCGGAACTCCCTAGAGTAGACCAGGCTGGCGTTGATCTCACAGAGATCTGCCTGCCCCTGCCTCCTGAGTGCTAGGATTAAAGGTGTGCGCCACCATGCCCCCCTTGGCACTCTGGCTTTTAAGAATGATCAAAGCAAAACTTGGCGAGCAAACCTGTAAGTGATCTCTAATTTTGATACTGTTGAAGACTTTACTAATTTAAAGCCTGGCTGTGACTGCTCACATTTTCAGGATGCACTGAGAATATGTGGGAAGATGATAAAAATAAACAAGGAGGATGACGGCTAATTACACTGAAGGAACTGCAGAGACCAAGTGACTGAGATTGCTTTTGGCTAGGGGCACTGCAGTGCCTTGTTGGAGAATCTTCGGATGACTACGTGTGGGGCTGCTGTGAAAAGAGGGAAGTTGTTACACATATAGGGAGGATATGCCTGGAGAGCTTAGGACTTACTCCTGAAACTCAGGCCCAAGCAGGTACAGTCTCTAGGGGCTGCGCCACCACTAAAAATAGGTATGTTAAAGAAAAGGCCTCTGAGGATTCTCATGGGAGGCTGTGTCAAGTCCTTGAGACTTGGGAGCTGAGCCTGAGCTGAACCGAAGCAGTGGTCTCAACTGAAATTGGATTCCATCTACAGACGCAGAGAAGACTCATTCACCTTTGTCTTGTTCTTTCTTTCCCCCTTTTAAAAGTTTTTTGCTAGAGGGTTCACTTTCCCAACAAAAAAAAAATTACATTGGACATCATCTGCAGAATCCATGAACATGTTCCTGGTCCACTGTTTAATGGTTCAGTAGAAATTACCATTATAAACATATCTGCCTTTCCAAAGAGAACTTGAACACATTAGCAGGGCAAATACCAGTGTCTGTCCTGCTTTATGCAGAGGCATATTCTGCTGGTTTGGGAATGTGGTGAGTACGGTTTTCCAGTGATTTTCTCTCTTTTTATAAAAGCACTGTGGTGCATAGGTTTTTTATGCATTTCATTTAAATTATTTATTTATGTTTGTGTGATTTCCTGGACATAATTGTGGCTTATAAAAAAACTAACACTTGTGCTGGTTAGTTTTCAACAACTTGACAGAAACCAGAACCTCAATTACTGTCATCAGACTGGCCTGTGTGTGTGTCTCTGGGGTATTTTCTTGATTACTAATTAAGTGGGCCACAGAGGGCTCAGTCCACAGTGGGCGGCACCATCCTGGCAGGTGGCCTGGGCTGTGTAAAAAAGTAGCTGAGCAAGCCAAAGGAGCAAGCCAGTAAGTGGAGGCAAGGAGGGGGTTAGGGAAAGGAAGGAAGGAAGGAAGGAAGGAAGGAA